TAACATAGAAATGAAAGAAAAAACGAAAAAAAAACAAAAATGTTTTTGAACAGCAAGAATGAACTCAAACTTAGAAACATTTTTAAAAACTCTGGCATTGTTACGGTAAACATGGAGTCTGGAAGCGAGTTATTTAATACATTATTGACCCACCTATTGGAAATTAGTTATTGGAAAAACTGAGATATTCGGACCAGTTTTTCTCGACTAGAGCTTTCTTGAAATGGTTTTGGAATCCGAATCACGACTGCAATCTGAGAAAACTGAAAACTCGAAATCTTTAAGGATAGCGACAATTTGCAACAATAAAAAATTTGCGAGTTTTGAAGTTTTTGAATTTTAAAAAATCTTTTTAATTACAATCTGAATAAGCAGCAACCTCTGAATCATGAATCATGCAGATTCTACCACTCGTACCGAATGTAAGCGCACCTAAGCAAGCGGACGCTACTTGCCGACGCCGCGTTTTACACTTTTTTAAAAATCTTTTCGCTTTTCTTAAAATATAAAGGATAGCCGGTTGCTGCGCAAATAGAACAGAATGTTTCGACATTCATAAAAAACTACAAAAAAAAACATTTTTTCTCTTCAAAGTTGTGTCGTTTTTGTGCATGTCGTGATGAGAGAATTATACGTACGTAGGAGAGTTATAGGAAAACAGATGTCTTCGAAAAATGAAAAACAAACTAAAAAACTGAAAAAAAACGACTTCAAATAAGTTGTCTATAAAATTCGCAGAAAAACTTTTGATTTCAAAACAAAACTTTTCATTGCCACGGAAGTGCTGAATGATGCTTCCAAAATTAGTTTCCTGGACTAAAAATACTTTTTTCACTACTTGAATGAAATTATTTTTTTAAAAACCTATTCGCTTGCTTTACTAGCTCGAAGTTAGACTAATACTCAAAAATTTCGAACCGGTTTTTCTCCTCAACATTTAATTAATTTTTAAAATCACGACTAAAAATTTTAAGATGATATTTAAAAAAAAAGCGATTTAAAAGCAACTAAAACTCCCAAAAATAAAGTTCATCCACAATCGGTACTCCTTTCCTGGTAACAAAATCCACAATCGGTACTCCTTTCCTGAGAAAGTTGGTGCACAAAGAAAAAAAGTAGTCAGATGCTGCGCAGTAAGTATATAGTTTTTATTTAACAAATCAACCTTGACTCTCTCGCTAAATTTCAGTTTTCAAATTTGGTTTTAAGCTGAAGCTGATGCATTTTGCTTTTTATTAGCAACTTTTTAAAACGATAGCCTGTCCTCAGTTTATATTCAAGTTTGTCGAAAGTGCTTAAATTGATCACCGAACGTTGTCGGGCAAAATAATCATAGTCTGCACAATGTTTTTCAAGTTTGTTTGCTATAAAAATTTTCTTTGTTTTTTGAATTTACGCCAAGAAAAAAATTATAAAACAGAAACTGAGTTTTATTGTCAGAAATACATTTTTAGATCAAACCTTTTTTTATATCAACTGATTTGATTTTCCGAGTTCTCACAAAACACTATAGTGACCGCATTTTGATTTAAAAAATTTCTGCGCCGCAGACAAATTTTGAAAAAGAAAAACAAACATTTTGGAAAGTTTTGGCCAAAAACTTGCATTTTTAGGCGCCCGCTTCCCTCTCAACAAATAGAAATTCCTTCTTTTCAAAAAATTTAGGGTCATATGCAAAAAAAAAGATATCACAACATAACCTGCGCTCAAAATCGCTACTGCATAAGTTTTCTAAGCATTTCAAAGGATTTTTCATCAGCTTTATTGTCTTGATTGCAAACTGAGTTTGAAATATATTTAATAGTATTCGTTTATTCTAAACATCTTAAAACCAAATTATTGCCACTCACAAATATTATATCTGTAAAAAGTTTTCAACAACTTCCTTCTGTTACAAAGAACCTTTCCCTTTTCCCAAATAAGGCATAAATTATAAATCGTTATTGTAAGCAGACTACTTTGTATTCACGTCTCAGACTTTGATTTGTTTGTCAGCCAGTTGTTTTTTTGTTGTGTTGGCATCTACGTCACCTGGTCCAATTATCGAGTGCTCGACATTTGACGTGTAGCTTTCAAAAACTGCGCCAATATCAGAGCGTCGTTCAATTGGTTGTTTTTCAAATTGAAAGCTGCAAATTTAGAGAAGAATGAGCTAAAAATATGTTTGACTGACTGTCGTCACTGGTTTTGTGGTCGCGATTTTATTTTAACGACAAAGTTTGTTGTGTTTATGGTGTTTTGAAGAGAGACAGTTTTGTTGTTTACTTGATGCCATCACAACTCACTATCTACACTACTGTACATATACCAATTCTCTCTTCAGCTAATCAGTTTTATTTTTGTTTTTCACCAATCACCCTGGATTTGGTTGGTAATAAACGGCTCTTTCTTGTTTAGTTTTCTAGCCATGATTAAAAATGGAAGTAATCCTTTACCTTTAGTGAAATTCCCAGTTATTAAAAAACACTTATCTAAGGCACAAAAAAATTCTCTCATTGAACTGAAAGAAAATATTTATTTTTAGAAATTTAATTCATTCTTTTTTACGGAACATTTGTTTTATTTTTCAATATGATTTTACTGGGGCTCTCATCAACTTCAGTAATCAAATTCCACGTTTTTTCTTAATAAACACTTCTTTGAGAACTGATTAGCTAGTTCAATAGTTCTATTTAAGATGAAGTTATTTGTGAAAAACGTTGCCATCAATTTCTGGAAGGTCATCGAGGAAATATTTTAGTTGGTGGTTTATGTTATGATTATTAACCATTAAGAAAACAAAACGACCAACTAAAGCAAATGCATAGCGATGACATTTAAAAAGGAACGATTTATTTTTTCACATTATTCGATTTGTGTAGGGAGATATGGAGAAAAAAAACAGCTTAAATTAATGATTGATTTTTTTTATTTGATTATATTTCTCCGTATCATCAGCGTCTTCTTTTGTCTTGCGCAACTCAGTTCCCCTTTTTGAGACTCGGTTTAGTGATTTGTGGCGACAGAGTGTGCTAATTTATGCGGATGAAATTGGAGTCAAATTAGGAAGAGCCTTCTTCACGCTGACACTTGAGAGGAGACTCAATTCTCCTCTCTATGCCATAGTAGTATACCATAGTAGGTACGAGTACAGGCCATAAGAGGCCACAGCTTTTCCCAGCTCGACTAGACTAAAAATCAGTAAACCGAACCATATTCCACACTTCAAAATTGAGAGGCCATAGTTCTTTGGCACTAGGGAGCCCTAACTTAACAGCTTTTTATCTAAAAACTAAAATGGCTGAAAGTATTTTGAAAACCAATTAGCCTTTTCTTTTCGAAAAAAACCTTTGTAGTTCTAACAGGTTTCCGTCCAATTGAAGTGTACGCTAGGTATGGTCTTATATTGATTGTGAATTGAAGTGTAGTAATATAAAACCTTCTTCCAATTAAAACTCCCCTGCATGAACTTCTCTTCCCAATTTCCTCCCAAATTTTCTACGCTCCCAGTTCTAATTCTTGTTGCCGTTGTTATTAATCTTTTCAGCTATTGTTTTACTACCACATTCTCCGAAGACTCGACGTCATTTGTTAGTAAAATGCGAATTATATGGTGAATTACACAAGCAAAGTCCCTCCTATGGGCGGCCAAATCGTTCAGAAAATTCTTTTCGAGGAAAGTCTTAATTGTTTGTTTTTTTTTTTGTTGAAAAAATTCTTTGACTATTTTACCCTCTATTGCAAAAACCGCAAATCCAAATCTACAGCAGGAAATCAAACAGGTGCGGGAGAGGGGGTATAAATCCAAACATACCGAACAGGTAAATCAAAATTTTGATTTGAAAAATATATTTCGAAAAACATTGAAAAAACACTTTCAGTTGTCTTGGAATTTTTCGGTTTATACAATTCAGTTTCCTTTCCACAAATAAACAAAAGCTCTCGTCGTAGAAATTAGTCATTAAACATCATACATTTCATAGAATTTGCCCTTTTAAATCAGTTGAAAAAGTCACTTGGACATTTTAGTTCAGTCTGTCTGTTCATCGAATCTTGCAATAAATCCCTTTTTGGAAGTAAAAGAATGCTGAAGTCTCGACTTTAAGTCTTCGAAGTACTTAAGTAAACACAGTCAGCACAATATTTGGGATTCGTTCTTAGCGATGTTTCACTTCAATTTATATCCAACACTTTGGTCGCTCGAAATCCATCTTAACCTAATTCATCTTTAAAAAAAACAGTTTCCTTTGATATACAAAGATTTTGAGATCATTCTTTATTATAAGAAACCTTTCAAAAATTCCTTTCAAAACTTCAAAAAATGGCAGGACTAGAAAATAATTTTCATTGCAAAATAGACTCATTTTAAGTTTTCAAAAGCTTTCAAAAAATCCTAGTGGCTGTCCCAAAAAGATAAACTTTTTTTTGATCTAAAAATTGACTTTTCTCTGTCAGAAAACTTTTGAGAAAGTTTGTGTTTTGTTAATATTTCAGTAAGGATAAACTGAAATAGTTTGGTTGCATTATTTGTACGAGGCATACTTTGTCAAGTTTTTTGAGTGATATTTCTCAACTAATTTTCGTCTTTGATATCAATTCTTTGATGTAGTGGACAATTCATTTTCTAGTCTCCTGAAAATGAAGGAAAAAAATCCCTCATTGAATTAGGAGAACAAACAATTTTTTTCATTCAAAAGAATGATTGAGCTAAAAATATAAATTTAGTGAAGGAAAAACTTTTTGATATATTCAGATCACGTCATCACTGTCGTATATGTAAAAAAAAACTTTTGAACTGACTGTTAAATAGGCGCGATAGAACAGCATTACATTTCAATTTAGCATTTCTAGGTACTATAATATATCTTTTGCATTGTCGCTTTTTTCTTTTTAATGTGTTACGTCCTTGCTAGATCAAAAAGTAACATACTCCGCTATTTGACTTCTGATTTTTAATGTCAAAAATAGTTTTATATTCGCGAAGTTTGAGCTTCTAACAGTAAGTTGCCAATTTCAGAGGTGAATCATGTTAGATGAATTGAATGCAGCTGCAAGTCTCCTATCGACATACCTGAAGCCTCTTATTTCTGAAGAACTTCAAAATACAAGTTCAAGTTCCGACAAATCCAATTCACTCCTGGAACTACAGAATTCCACGAAATCAGAGAGCGCCTTACAAACACATTTTTTGTCTGCAGAATCTCGAAATAATTCAACCCATCAGAGCAAAGCAGACGAAAGTGGAAGCTCGGAACATTCTAGAAGCAGAGATGACGTAAGTTCTTCGACTGGTTCGACATCTGCAGAAGAAAGTCAGCAGAGCTCGCTTGAGACTGTGTTGCAGGAGGCAATTGTAACAGCTCTTCAGGCCAAGTTCCAAGGTCATTGGTATCCTACACTTCCCTCGAAGGTTAACATTTTTATTTAAATATCTTTTTTTCATAGATAATTTTTAGTGCAAATAAAAGGAAGGTCATCATGTACTTTTCAGGTTCTTTGCAATGAAGTGTATTACTTAGATAAAAACAATAGATCAATCAATATAATTTTTTTTGGTGGGCTCCCATGATGCTGTAAAACCCTGATGCTGTAAAAACTGTGTGCATTACAGATAAACTTGGGAAAAAAAATCATTCAAAAAATATTGCTGTTGCAGATTTTTTGATTTTTTTGAGAAAATAAGTTTGATATGTTTATATATTGTTTTGCAGGGTAGTGGGTTCCGGTGTCTCAAGTTCGGTGGAGTGGGCGGGGGTGGAGTGGATCCTGCCATAATCTGTGCGTGTGAATCGGTGGAGTCCATAGTTCACATCTCGAAGAGTGACCTTTCCTCTGCCATACCCAACGACCTCATACTCTGGATCGATCCAGGGGAGGTAAGCTGGCTGTTATTCTACTTCCATCAGTTCATATACACTTCCCTTAAACATCGGCTGTGACAGTTTAAGCTGAATAAGTCGTTAAGTAAACAAGAACTGCAATCCATTCAAAGGAAACCTCCAATATATACTAATTTTGAGAGCAAGCGCGCGCCAAAAAACCGCATTTTTTGGTCAACCCTTCAAAAAAAACTTTAAACTTTAAAAAACTTTTTGGTCTACACACAAAATCAACTACCACAAATAATATTCGGAATGGGTCAGTTGATATTTGATTTAAAATCCTTTTTAGTCGTGATTCAAGCGACTTTTTTTAAAAATCAAAAAATTTCGCAGTGTCGAGAAAAACTAGTTGGAATTTCTGAGATATACTATAACTTCGAGCGAATAACGCGATCGGGTAACATTCGTTATTTGGAAATTCATTGTTTGTTTTGAACTTTTACTATAACAAATTTGATTACCATTAGGAAAACTAAATGCGGATTTTTCGATTAGCGCTTGTTTGGCAAAAAAGGTGTTAAAAAAAATTTGATATTTTTGAGCAAAAAGTTTTGTTTTTATTCATTTTTTGAAGACACATGTCAATCATTGCTAATAAACTTTTTTATGCTATAGTATAATTTTCGAATCACACTATCTAAAAAACAGTTTTTTAAATTTTTTTTGTGAATATGGTCGGAAGATTTTGTGTAACTTGCACAGCAACCGGCCAAAAAAGATTCAATTTATCTTATTAAGAGTAATGAACGTAGTGAGTACTCTTATATAGGTCTTGCTGATTTTTGTTTTTTTTTTTCAGGAAAAAGTCTTAAATTTTATTCACGCTCATTTTTGATTTTTCGCTGTTTGACTTGTGATTTCTTTTTAAGTTCTTTGCATTTTTATTGTTAAAAGGAAGGCAAACTCCACTATAGAACAGCAAAATTGTAAAAGTCACGGAAAACGTGATCGACTTCTCATTTCGAAAATAAAAGTTTTACCTATTGATCCAGTTTTCTCAAGTTGGGTTAGTTTTAACGAAAAAAAGTCGATCAAAAATGGTTCTACAAATCCAAAGAGCTTTATGGCCATCTTTTTTTCGAAATGCAAAACTTGAAAATTTTTGAAAAATCAAATCGGTTTTTTTTTCCAGTTCACTTGGGTTCATTACTCTTTTCCAACTATCAGTTGGCTATGTTTGTTTTTTTTTGCTTGACTGCTTTCGGTTCATGCGCGCTTTTTAAATCTGAAATTCTATTCAAAATTCTTCTGAAGCTTTCATCTCCGTTCTATTTTTTTTTCGCTGATTCACTTACTGAAGCCAATTAGACAGAGACATTGAGTGATTATTCTTAAGGATCAAAATGTCTAAATTTCCATAATCTGTTCTCACTTTTCTAACAAAATATTTGTGGGATGATGAAATTTCAGTGTCACAGCTATCCTTTAATCATTTTTTTGTCTTTGATTTTTGCACGTAATATAATGTTTGAGAATTGAGGGCAAAATTTCAACTTGCTTTTACATCTGATTTGGCTAATTGATTACTAGGTAAGTTGACTAAACGGCTTTTTGTTCCGCTTTTGATTTCGGGAGGGTGAAAATAACATGTAAATAAAAAGGCTTTTAGCGCTCATTACATAGTCGATCTTTCTTTGTTTGTACAAATTGATGTTGATGCCGACTTAAAACAAAATATATTGGTATGAAATCGATGCGATATTCTACTTAATACAAAAGCTTGCAGCTGTTTTGTGCTAAATGATTTTTAAGGGTAGAAGGAAAAACCATTTGCATCCATAATTGACAGCTACTAAGTCGCGCCCTCGGCATATCTCGTAAACATTTTTTCTCGTGATCAGGGGCAGATTTAGGATTTTCTCGAGGGGACCTTTTTACCGACTTGCTTCAATTATTACGCTTGTGTTTTTTGGCCAAATTTTTGTGTTTTGCCAGTTTATTTTTTTTGAGCCTCTTCAGTTTTCAGTTGAACTGAATTAAAATTTTCGTTTTACTATTCAAAACATTCAATTTTTAAGTAGACAGGCATCTTGAAATCAATTTTCATTTCTCAATACCAAAATTTTATATTTCAGTCTATAAGAATTCTAATCAATAAAGCACAAGTGTTGTTTGAACAATGAAGTTGAATCGTCTGCATGATTTAGTCTTCTGTGGCGCCATAATATATATATTTTTTTCGAGCTTAACCTGTTTTTTTTCTTATTGTCCCAGCCAAGATTACATGTACTTAATCACGCTTATTTTGTTCTTTCTCAATCATCAAGTCTCCTAAAACGAAGCAGCTTTTTGGCATTACACGCTAGCAACTTGCCTATAAAAAGTTTTAGGACGAAAAAAAATCTAACAAGAAAATTTCCCCTTCCAACTTATAAAATTTATGCAACAGAAGCAAGAAGTTCTTTTTGTTTTAGTCAGTAATTGGTGACAAAAATCTGGTTTGACCTGCAGCACCAAGAGTGTTCTTACTTGAACTTTAAAATATGAACTTAGACGTAGTTTCAAAGACTTGGACTTTTTGCAAAAAGCGAAATTACGGCACTTCATTAATTTTGAGTGCGATAATTATAAAACTACCAGCTATTCAATTATTAAAATGTTATTTGCTCAAAACACAGCAGATGTCGTGCCTCGAATTCGACAAAACTCGTGTTAGCTTTGTTAGAGTTCGCGTTCAAGTAGTACGTCGATATTTAATTGATGATGTTTTTGAGCATCTGTCTTCAAGAGGGAGTTTTTTTATTTTGAGGTTGGACTGAACCTTGTTGTTTCGACCCCTTCACGAAGTAAAGGAGGGAACTATGACGTGGAACGTGTTTTTCACGCCCAATTTTGATTAACTGAAAGAAAGCTTGGAATATTTTAAACAATTTCCTCCCGTCTTTCTGATTCCAAAAAAAAGTTCCCCAAAAAGTTATCTCAATGTCGAAAAAGTTTGGTTTTCCCGATTTTCGGACAAAAAAGTTGATGATACACAACCTAATTCGAATTCAATTCAATTGTAATTTCAGGCCTTATTATAACTCATGCTGCTGTTTGTTTCTTAAGTCTCCATTTCCTAAAAAAAAACTGGAAGATAGAAAATATGAAAAAAAAAGAAAAATTGATTTTTTTTTATTTTTGAAAATTGTTTGCCGATGTTTTAATTTCTTGATGTTTATAATAGTAGTCGAGATATGATGCACTATATTCCTATCAGCCGGCTATCTTTGTTCAATAGTTATTTCAATGTTATAAATTGTCTACTTTTTGTTTTAAAAATTATAGCCTGAAAGGCGCTCAAAACGAAACAGATGATTGACCTTAACGCAATTGGAAGCTTTCAAATGCCACTGAAGCTTATTGTTTTTGAGACAGCATTGGTTCATTTAAGGCTTGGTTTTTTTTTTAACGATTATTAACGATTTTTGTTTAATTTCGATAGTTTTTCAACCGCAGCAAAACTTGTTTTGAACAAACTTTTTGTTCCATATCCTGAATTTTTCCTTTCTTTTTCAGATTCTACCATATTTGTACACGCTATCAAACCAAAAAAGGAAAGTTTTAATTGAGCGTGAACTTTTAATCCATTTTTATGTGAAACGTCTTTCAATTCAATTGAATATTTGCTACTTAAAAGATGTTGCCGTTTTTGCGGTGAAGTTTAACTATGACGAAAGCATTTTTATCGTTGGCACTAAAAATTCCAATATGGCGTGTCTCTATAATACATAAATACATGTAATGCTAGTTCTTCCTTTTATAGAAGGACAAATAAAACAGGAACTGTAGGAATATTAAATACATATATATGTTGAAATAAAAAAGTATATTTTTAAAAATAGAACCTTCTGTTTTGGTTCTATTTGGTACTTGGTACCTTGGAGATTGGCGTTGTTTTAAATTACTTCCTCTTGTGTAAAAAACGAAAATAGAAAATTTTGAAGTCACATTAAAACAGCCTGAAAACAAAGAAATATGGGCGTATACCATTTTCTAAGTGGATTTGATCATAAGGCTCCAATATTGTTCTGATATTCTTTCTCCCCTCGCAACGAGCGATAGTGTTTAATTTCACTTCTAATTTGAAACACGTGAGCAAACAAATACCTCGCAGCTATAAAAAAAAAGGAAGCGTTTGTTTATTCTTTTCTGAAATGCTTTGAAGCCATATTGATACCATTTGTACCGTAAGAGGAGATTTTCAGCTGAGGAAACAACAGAATTGGTTCAATCAAATCAAGAGGCTGATGACCTTTTTTCTTCCCCTATTTTATTGAAACGCCTCGGTTGAAAAATAAAAGAAAAATAGACTTTCGCAGTTTTTCAACCGTTCCTGGTTCTATGTTTGATGTTTCTAGCAATTTCTAATTGATTTTCTCTTTGTTGAGTTTTATTAGGACGTAAAATAATGAATTTTCGAACAATATTAAAAGCTGAGGCCGCGAAAGTAGGCAACAAACTGGGCCCAATGCTAGTGAAACATTTACACTCAAATAGTACAAGTGGTTTCTCACCGCCTCAAAACGCAAACATTGTTATTGTCACGATTACTGAAAATTGAGAAGAACTTTATTTTCCGTTTTTTTTATTGATTGTTTGGACTGTATATAAACAGCTGATATCTGAAATAGTTACCGGATCTACTTAACAATTGCCCCCACCCCCCCTTTCAAGAAAGGGGCAATTTTTAGTTAAATTAAATGTCGAATTTTCGACCAATCAGATAACAACAAAATGTGAATTTTAAATACAACGCTCTAGTGCCAATTTACTGTTTTTATTTAGAGGGGTGGCTATTCTTCAGTAGATACCAAAGGGAGGGCGATTGTTAACTAGATCCTAGTTGCCTTTTAAACCAGCTGAAAAAAGAGTAGTTAAAAATATTATTCAAAAAGACTGCTCGTATCAGGGCGAAGCCCTGAGGGTTCCGACTGCCTTTTAAGGTCTATGGAGGAGTAATAGCATGAAAAAACTAAATGTAGAAAAAACATGTATTTTATAATTTTTTCTTATAATTTGAGGTTTTTTTTGTGAAAATCATCCCCCACACGCCATACAAAGTGATAAATTTCGATATATCAAAAATCAAAAAAATAATAAAAATTGTCATATAATCATTTTTTTTTAAATATATTCAAAAATAAATTTTTTTTATAAATGTCTTCTTTTTATCCCCCACTCGCTATTGAAAAAAAATGTATTTATCGTCTCGTATTTTAATAAGATCAAAATTGGTGTCCTTATTTGTTTTGAAATGCTTAATTTTGCCGCTTATGCGTTTTCTGAATGCAACACATTGGGCGTTAATCATTCAAAATGGGCCAAATTAGCAATTATTTGCCCCATATAATCTTACAATTTTTAGAAAAAAATGAGCTCAGTATGGTTTAAAAAAACTAACGTTTTTTTTTTGTCAAAGTCGTAATTGACTGAATAAAAAAACAACCTCAATCATAACAATTCTGTTACTTTCTTCGCTTATTGAGTCGCTTGTTCTGTATCGGGCACGCAAAAAAAACTAGTTTTAAAGTGTGATAACAGGGCATGTCCTATTTTTAATTATACCATGTGGTTTTTCTTTCAAATGCAATCGAGCGTCTTTTTTTTCAGCTGAAGTGTTATCTAATCCTGCTTTGTGTTTTCCTCAAATTTTAATTAGCGCAAGTGGTACACTAATGTACACACGAACAAAGAAGCCAAAAAAGAAAGACCTATAGAAAGAATTTTTGAAGTTTGATTGTGGTTTCATTTTTCAACAAGTGTCGTTCTTATACTCAATCTAAGTATAATAAAACACTCGATGTTTAAAAATATGGCATTAGAGAATGTTAAAGAAAGTATTTCTGTCGTTTGTGATCTCTTTGTAACGCTTTAGGTCTATATATAAATGTACTCAAAAAAGAATTGCTGTAGTTATCCTGAATCAAGATGTACAAAAACTAACCAACTAAAATAGGAAAAAACTAAAAAACCACTAAAAATGGTTCAGTAGACGACAGGAAACTAAGAGAACTTTTGCTTAATCTAAGGCATCTGCTTTGAAATTTTTAGTCTTTCCTATTCCGACGCGCTGGTTTGTTCTGTTCGTCAAGCCACAATAAGAATAAACTCGTCGTTAAAACTAATCGAACGGAATAATATTAAAATTTATGAAAACGTCAAAGATACTTTACTAAAAAAGAAGGGTTGCTAGGTGAGTTGCATGCCAATTAGTTTGCTCCAATAACAACAGTGTTGATTAAATTCGCTTTTTTCTTTATTTGATTATCTTTTTTTTCAGGTCAGCTACAAAATTGGAGATTCGGTACCATTAACAACAGTATACAGTAAACCATCTGCTGGAAAAGGGAATCTGGACTGTAAAGATTCCGCGATGTCAACTCTTCGAACTAGCTCTGGAAGTAAGTTTGCAATCGGCCACGAGAAACACATGAAGCAATCGGCGAAAAAACTCAGCCTAGCGAGCAATCAACAGCCGAACTCAATTTACGCGTCACAAAATTTTTATGATTCGAACAATAATACTATTGGAAACAGCTTGAACATAACCTCAACACCTCTGAAGAAACATTCAGCAGGTCCTGTGATTGGAGGGTTTTCAACATCGATGTTGGTTCCTGATGATTCTCCCGGTATGATGGGGGTTCCTGGAGGAATGAACAAACATCACCCAAATGCAATTTCTTCACAGATGCTTGTCACAAACGATTACTCTCCTCCTTTTGCAATTCAGCCCAATCTAGTACATATCGATCCCTCCAGTATGAGATCTAGAGGCGGTAACGGGATACCACGTACCGCAGTAATGGACAATTCCCTGGGAGGTTTCAATGAGTTTGGATTCCCGTCTGCCAACAGACCTACAACTTTGCCTGGCATGAAAAATATTCCTCTGAATGGAGCTCCGTTCAGCTCGCCCATACAAAACAACGCGCAGCAACATAGTGCAATGTCAAGGAACGCCAATGTATCCCGAAGTACGTTTTTTTCTGACAATTCTTGCTTTGTTTTTCAATCAAATACCTTGTTTGAAGTTAAAACTCTCAAACCTTTATAACTATCACTACTTGGATTGCCTAGAGTTTTGTGAGTGTTTATTTTTTTACAGATCTTGGACTCTTCTGGAAGTCAGCATCTTCTCTAGGTGGCAAACCCCACCACCTGCAATCAAGTCCCTCCCCATTCGCTCCTCTTAATCCTCTCAACCCGGACGCAGCAGTCTTCTCCCCCAACGATTCACCCGAACAACAGATCATGCGTCCAATCGGCACTCCCGCCTCTGCTCAGTCTGTAACGCCAGCATATCCTAACCCCCACCCAGCCACTGGTCCTTTCCATAACTCAACCTCAGACCTGATAAACGTCGGAGCCATTGGTTCTGGACTCATTGGGTTCGCAGACCAAGAAATCAACCAGCAGCAAAACACAATGACCGCTACCATGAGTTTAGGGGTTCCACAAGGAAATGTTTCGGGACCCTCCGGCAGTCGATCGGCAGTTGGAACTATGGTCTCTCCAACTCAGAAGTTCTACTCGGCGACTGCGAACAGTTTGGCGCAGCTGCAGCTGAATCAGCATCAGCAGGCGTTCAGAGGCGGATCCCCCGTCGACTACGGAAATGGGACTCCTTTTAATAGGTTTGTTATTTTATATTCACTTGGCGTAAAAAAAAATCAACTAGAGCCTGTGAAAAGAGCTTTTTAGACTAATCGAATCATTCGAACATTTTCTAAATATAGTTAACAATAATTAAGTAATGCTGTATTTCCTAATGCTGTCTTAATTGAAACTGTATCAATCTGTTCTGAAAAATTATGATTCCCATAGGCGTCGCTAGAGAATTATATGGGTTTGGTTTTTTCTTCTATCGAACCTAAATGGTGTTTACTTAGCTTGATTTGCTAAATATTGATGCTAATATAGACATTTCTTCAGTTTTAGCAACAACTTTTATTAGTATTTTTCCGTTTTACACTTGCATCAATTGTGCCTCTTTTTCCATAATTAGCAGTTTTTATAGAATTTTTCATCAATATCATAGATAATTCAAAAAGAAGACTGTCTGCATAACTCTTTTGTTTTTTCCTGAATCAGTTATATTGTAAAGTTTTGATACTTATTTATCTATTTTTAGATTTGTTGTATATAATAGTCGTCATATTTAATCGTTTTGTCTATTAACTTAAAATAAGAATCGGAAAAGCTTAAAACGAACATAAATTATGAGTCAATCGATCAAGTTCTTCAGATTCTGCATAAGATCATAGAGATAAAAAGTGAGCTATAAATATGAAGTAACATCTAATAGTTTTTAATCCATTTTTCAAAGACAATTTTGAAGACATTTATAGACTTAAAATACTTTCTATAGGTATGCTATATTCAGCGGTCAAACTTTCAAAGCGTTTATTGATTGTTCGAGTTACACCAGAATCGTATAATTGCTGAAAACGAATATTTATATTGTAATTGTGAAAACTTCAAATTAGTTTCATGTAGATCATCATTAAAATGAACTTTTATGGTGCTGATTTTTTTTTTTTTTTTGCAATTCACTTGATTTTATCGTCTTATTTTCAATAAAAAATGGCCTGTTGACTTGCAACATTTTTAGAGGCGACTCGTTCAGTTTGAGGCTTCATTCGGAGTATATAGTATAATATGGTAGTTCCGTGTATAAACTTAGTTTCGACTTCGGAGTTTAAAATGGAATGAATATCCTTCAAAAGACCTATGCATACGAAAACCATATGATTTTTTTTGCCAACGGTACCGTTGAATTATTTGAAAATAATAAATTTCGCGAGGCGAATTGATTTTTTTCAGATTTAAGTAATATGCTTCTTTTTTGAAATGTTACAAAATTTATTTTTAGTTTTCGCTGTTTCACTTTGTATATGTTTTTTTTCTTCAAATTCATCTTCGACGAAGAATTGAAATTACTTTCTTCAAAACAAGAAAATGTCATTCTTTCTTCACCTTTGGTTTAAAAAGGAAAATTCGGTTCAAGTGCTGCTGAAAATTGCATCAAACAGCCTTCACTTATGTTGAGCCTTATATGTTTTTTTTCTACTTGAAATTTGCTCGTTTTTAATTTTATCGCCCTTTTGTCATGTTTGTGATTTGAATTTTGAGTTTTCGCTTTTTTTAAATTTGTTATGCGAAGTTAATTTTTGATCAACTCTTCTAGAAATATAATATAAACAAGACTGCTCGTATCAGGGCAAAGCCCTGAATGTTCCGACTGCCTTTTAAGGTTTTATGTAGCAGTAATAACATCAAAAAATTAAATGTAATAGTATAAAATGATTTTTTTTTCTAAAATTTGAATTTTTGTAAGTGAAAATAACCCCCCACGCGCCATATAAAGTACAAAACGATAGATTTCGCTCCTTTTAACAAACTAAATATGGCAAGTGAGCTTCTTTCAACCAATTTGGAACGATTTCTAAGACGGATTCAACTCTCCGCTTACGCGTTAATAGCGCGAAATATATCGCGCTTTAATTGTCCCAAATTGGCCAAAACGGCAATCTTTAAACCCCCATAACTTTACGAAAAATGATCACATGTGAAAATTTTTTTCGAATTTAAGCTCAGGACAACAATACCTTTTGAATGATATAAAAAAATCCGTCAAAAATGGCTAGTTAAAAAGTCGAATTTTGTCTGAAGAAAAAAAAACCCACCCCGAGCACAAATATTCCGTTATTTTTGTATCGAAAGTCGGAACAATAACGAGTAAAACGGCTATTGGTTTCAGTTTCCTTGTTTTCTTTGACACCAGCAATGGTCTATTGGTTATGTTTGGTTTCTTGATTTGGCTTAAAAGCTTGCTTTGCAAAGTACAGAAAAAAAACATAATCTAAATAGGTTGCAATGATATTTTTGGGGAGAAATTCATGATAATTTCTCCGCTATTTTTGGATGTCGAAGTAACGCTTAAGTCAAAGTACTGCTAATTTCAACTATTAGTGCTTCAAAAGGCTTGCAAAATTTTCAGTCAAAATATGGTAGGTCGTATTGTAGTTGAAACAAAAAACTACAGTAGCCCTAAGTTTTGTTGGTGTCTAATATAAATTTATCGTTTTTGTGTAATAATTGAAGCTCAACTAAGTTAGGTTGTGTAAGGTTTCTTTTTCTTTTTTTTCTTTCGAATTTGAATGGTTTACTCTTACTACGTTTTCATGATTTTTTTTTGTGTTTTGTTTGAGATCGCTATAACTTTTTCAACTGTCGGTCGTCTGTTTATGTCAGGTTTTATGTTCTAACACAGCGTTATCAAAAAATGTTGGTCATCAGAGCTTTCTTTAGTTTGAACATTTTTCGACTTTTCTTTGAATTTTTAGCAGACGACTTGTTATTCAAGTTCACCTTCCGAAAAGTGTTTAGTTTAAGTTCAACTAGAATGAAAACGGAAATGGCACAAAAAATGTTTTTTTTTCTACTTATAAATGAATTTCATTTTTTGAACTCCTTGTGAACAAAACGGTGCTTGGATCAAACTGTTCAATTTTCAACCATTACAAATTCTTGCAACTAAAGATGTTATGCAATGATAATTAGAGATTTATGCATATCAGTTCATAAACACTTTTCCAACAATCTGTTGGTTATTCTTATATTTCAGTCGGTCATTTTTTTTTTCAATTTTGTATCATGAAGTTCATAACATCGGTTTTGTCTTGCCACTGAATTGTTTTTTTTCTGATCAAAAGATTTCACAATGAATTGCGGCCAAAAATAAAGGCTTCCCTTTGGCTCATTAATGCAACCATTTTCGAAATCAGCTGTTGTTTAATTTCTTTATGACGTCAAAATTTTTATACTGATTACCTGTGAACTTGATTAGTAGCTATTTGAAATAAATTTAAAATTCTCTTTGAAAAAGCCTTCATAATTATTTAGTTTTTTAAACTATAGAATTCAATGACAAATTTTCTCATCAAGCATCCCTGTATTTAAAAAAATTTTAAGCTGCTTTTTTGTTTAACCGAGTGTTGTTTCAAAAGTTTTGTTCAGCCAGTTTTTCCATATTTTTTCGTTTACTTCTATCTCGATCGATTAACTTTGTTTTATCGAAAAAACAAAAGCTCATCAAGTCTTTTTCATGCTTTGACGTCAAAAGTGTGATCTCTGACAGAAATTTTTCAGTCTAATTAAACTTAAAATATGGTAATAATTGTCATAATGCATAATATTTTTAATAGTCGGTCATAAATGAATTCACTCTCTATTAAGAAAGTACTTAACGTGTTTCGAGCTAGTTATTATACGGTTCAACTGTTTAAATACCATGTCTTTTTGCAACATCGTGTGTGGTTACTTGGTGAACTTTTGCATAAATTAAAACGTGATATCTATTGTTCTGTTCTTTTGTCGTAAGGACGTAGTCAACCGACTCATCGACTGAAAGGTTTATCAACTTGTGTTTCCTTCTAGTCTTATTTGCAAGTAGCATGAGACAATGCTCGTGCAAACATAATCGTCCTGAGAACCTCTCAATTTGAGACACTTCATCACCGTTGTTGACTTGTCGCATGGCGATTGACTTTTCGAGTACCTTTTAACATATCTGACGCAGTCTGAATAATGGTTTTTAATGATACCATTTTCACGCTTTTATTATGAACGCTACATTTATCAGGTTATGTTTAGGCCAAATTGTTGGCCTTGGTACATATCTGGTACATACCAGGCCCTGAAATGATCACATAACATAACTATTTCAAGTCCTTCTCCATCATTTTGGCATCCTTGAGGCGTCCTTAACAGCTAGGCTTACTGCCTTTTAAATCTACTCAAGTGCACTAACTGTTATTGGAAACAAAGTTATCCTTTTAAACCAAAAAAAGGGAATGTCTTAATAACAGGGGGGTTCAATAGATGACGAAGTATGTTCGAATCACTGAGTAACTGTCCACGCTCCTAAATCGGCTTTGATGCTATAAAATACTACTGCTTTTTAACACCCTCTATTAAAAAGCAGTGTTTATGTTGGAAAGTTTTGTTTAGACC